ACACACACACACACACACACACACACACACACACCCTTGCACACTCTGTTTTAAACATAAGGCTACAATGATCAGAACGTGTACAAATACAATATTGGATCTAACATTTAGTCTATCAGTTACAAAATATCCTTCACAGTGGTAAAGGTGTAAAAAAAAGTAGGCTATCTTGTGAATTTTGTGTTTTGTTTTATATGTTTTTTACATAAGCCGATATAGACTTTAGTTATTTGACTCTCTTATACAATCTTGTAAGAATATTCATACAAATAAACTAAATTATTCACTGAAGGGTTCTGATCTGTTTGTTTTATCGGAGCTTCTGAAACATTAACAAAGTCCCGTTTGTGTCTCGGTACTGTACTGTACATTATAAAAGACAAAGGCATGAAAAAAAAACAAGTTAAAACAAATTTATAAAATATCGCACGTGTCATGGTTGCATGAAAGTTGGATCCAAAAATGCTGAGTGGCACAAAAACCACTGATGAGATAGCACAAAACTTAAGGCCCTATCATGCTAGACAACTTATGCCAACTTATGAACATTTTAAAGATGTCTATGTTGAAGCTGGAATTGAAAAAAAAATCAACAGGAAGCATCTTTTTGGCGTGTACATAATATAATTCTAACAAACTGATCAAATATGCAACTTTTATTAGCAATTTAGACATAGAAAATGTTTCATAAGTTGATATAAGTTTTCTAGTGTGACAGGACCTTTACAAATATGCAAGGATACATTACAGAGCACAAAGAAGCATGAGAAGAACCAGATGCGGGGTGAGAGTCAACAATGTTTGATAGTTGAGTGAATAAAAACAAAAGGATGGTATAGACTGGGGCTGATGGGTAAACTGGCTGCATCTGTGATTAAATGAAAGTGAAGCAGGTGTAGTTGGGCAGAGGGACCAGAAACTGCTAATGACACAAAAGAAACACAAAAACCGACTAAATGAAAACACAAATTGTCTTGGCAGCACAATGGATCAGTGGTTAGCACTAATGCCTCACAGCAAGATGGTCCTGGGTTCAATCCCCGGTACAGTGTATTATTATTGAGTTTGAATGCAGCAGGTTGATCAGCTGCATCATCACATCTCACCACCAGAGGGGAGCAATGAGCTACACATGAGGACGGGTCCATCTTTTTTAAAGGAAATACAAACCAAAACAGCAGAGCAGACTGTGTGATGTTGGATTAGGTTTTTTTTTACCCCCTCCTTCCCTTCCAGTCCTAAAAATGATCAAAGCRTTTGAGCAAGCCGCACACAACTCACCTCTGAGAAATCAAAACCCTGTTCTGTTTATTGCMGAGATAAATTACATCCAACTCAGCAAACCTCAAACCAAACTCCCTCCGTTTCGCTCTCCATGGCAACTGTGCAGAGAGAGCCAGCAGATGAGCACAAACCTGTTGCTGTCTGCTCCGTGATGAACACGGTGTTCACACATGAACACAGGGAGGGTTAATGACCTAAGCTGGTGTTTGGATTTTACAGACAAGATGAAACTGCTGCAGAAYGGCACTGACAGCAGTAATTCAGATCTTTTAATGTGGGTTTCCATGAAAAGAGTTTAACAAKCAACATCTTACCTGCTGACTCTTTGAACAACCTCAGTTTGGGAAAAAATAAACAATTTAATTCAGCCCTGATGAATGGCCAGTCCTACATGTTTGACTTGTTTCTCTGCTCCAACACCTGRTTTAATCAAATGGAATGATTAACAAGCTTCAGTAGAGCCAGAAGAGGTAAACCAGTCAGACTCACTCTAGAGAAAAGTGTCTTTAGGCAGGGAGACAGGGTTGAACCGGGGCATAGGCAGTATAGGCAAACGCTAAGGGTGGTGTCTATCATCACAAATGAGGGACGAAAAAATATTTTACAACTTTTTATCAAAGTATTGTTGATTTTAGTCTGTAGAATAATCACTGGTTAGTCAATTTTATGAAGGTAACTTGTTCTGTGTTTTTCAGCTGTTTTGTTGCTACATGAGGTGTTATGTGGTGCGGAGGATATTTCATGATAAAAGCATCACATGATGCATTCAAGAATAACCACTGGTGCTGAGTGTATAAACAGAACATGAAATAAGGTTAATGGAAGTTTAGGTTATGATCTCAGATAAAGTTCAGGTTAAAGTCTGATTTTCAGTGTTCTACCTTCATAAATTACTGATTTTATGTTGTTTTAATAGTCCCAAGAATTTAGTAAAATGTTCTTCAAATGGCTGGAAAATTAGTTTTGAGTACATATTTTACAAAATTTTGGTGGAATATATACACGTAGACCCACCTAGAACTGCTTCACTCCATATCTGCTTGTTARCATGAACAGGTGGTCTTCATTGCTGTCAACAGATGTTGGCAGGTGTGATTATTGTTATCTGTTTTAATTGTACAAACTGGTTTCTAAATATAAAAAATAATATTAAACTATTTAATTTGGTATGTGAATTGTCAGTGAAGTTCAGTAAATTGCACAGGGGCGCCAGGGCACCAAACTGACTAGGGCCAAGCAGATCTTCCTGAATTTTATTGAAGACTACAGCTGTAAAGGTTTAATATTGCCCACATGAACCGCRTTGTTAAAAGGTGATGTTTTAAAATAGCAGCAGTTCACTTTGACTCCACTCAGAGTCACTGTTAGCTTGATAGTCTGGTCAGAAATAAACTTTAATTCTCCGTCTTGAAGTCGTTCAAAGAGCTATCTGCAACAGGTAAGATAAGAACTGTTCATAACCTTTCCATAAAAACCCCAACATTAAAATATTTTTGTAATCCCTTTAACAGTGTGAATAGAGGATGAATACAGAGACATGTTTAGATGTAGCCGTCTCTTTCTGGATGAGTTGTTTCTGTGAATTAGAGTGAATACTGGAAGACAGAGATGAGGCCAGAAGTTTTATATCTTAAAGATCCAAACCTACAGCTAAAAAACACGAAGCCAGCAGGCTTCAAATCTGTCTCTGTCTCTGCGTCCACCCTCAGCCTCCACCCACCCACCCAGATAAGCCCCAGCTTCTCTTCTCCACCAGCCTGTTGCTATTAGATACCGCCGGGCCGGTCGCCATGGCAGCCGGTGCTCCATCATACTCTCGGTGTCATGTTTCCATCCTCACGCAGTCGCACGTGCACAGGCTGGCACCGTGCTCGGCTGCGATGTGGTGGGAGGGCTGTCCTTGAGTTGTCGAGTCTTCTCTCAGGTCCGGCCCGGGGAACAACCCACCTGTGGACAGAATTCAAACGGTGTGACAGCCAGAGGACACGTCCTGCATGAGCAACACCGTCCACTCACCACGCATGTCCACAAGTCAGCATTTCCTCTGAGTTTTCTCCTCAGAGTGGGCTTGTTTGTTTTCAATATTTAATTAATAATTGAATCATTTTTCTGCAGTGGTTCCATCCTGTCATTTTTTTTTTCCTTTAAGGAGGCAGGAATATGTGAGATTTCCGGCTGGAGCATCACTTGTTGTTGTGCTCGTGTGGAAAAAAAAAGATTAAAACAACAGACGTGACTTGAATGTTCACGTCTTCGTGCAGATGTCCCGGGAAGCTGACGTCAGCTCGTGGAGGATGGAACACACACACACACACACACACACACACACACACACACACACACACACACACACACACACAAAGGAGGAAAAGGTGAGACGGAGACAGGAGAAATGAGGATGGGGAGATGAGGGGATAGTCAAAGCTGATTCTCCTTCTCCAATGAAAGCGACCCCCCCCCCACAACTCTCCTCGTGTTGCCATGGCGACCTCCTCCAGCTCCCCTCTTTTCCTTTCAGCGAGCTACCACTTATCCTTGGTGCCTTTCAGKCAGCGGGGGCATGTGGGTGTGTGTCCGCTTTTGTGTGTTGGCTCTTGAATGAATCAAGCAAATGAAAGGAAGAGCTTTTAGAGAGCCAAGTCTGCAGTTTCTTACATTTCTGTTTGCAGACTTCTGTGCCCCCCCCCCACACCCACCATCTTCTTTAAATTAATGAGCTCAGTTTTTATTTTCATTATGATCACAATCCTGCAGCAAATCTTCCACATTCTTTGACTTTTTTTCCAAGCACGCATCATTGTTTCTGCTATTTTCTGAACAGTGATAAAGGCTGAGCTTCCTGAGTGTGTCTGCCTGACACAAAAACAAAAACAGGGGAATTCAACAGCATCTAAACAAACCAGTGACAGGACGTCACAATAATGAAGCCTTAAACGTCTTCAGTTTGAGCTCTCAGCTTTACTGTAGTTCATGTTCCTTCCTGCTCTGCAGAGCCTCTGAAGACAGCCGAGCTCACACACTGTTTCTGTTTGTTTTCACGCTGAGAAGAAACTTCTGAACGAATCAGTGACTCAACATCAGCACTGGAGCTGTTTATTTATTTATTTTATATACAGCGGGTAAAATAAGTATTGAACACGTCACCAGTTTTCTCAGTAAATATATTACTAGAGGTGCTAATGACATGAAATTTTCACCAGATGTCGGTAACAAATGTCCAGAAATGAAGTT